GATAATACCCCCCCCCCCCCGTTTACCCCACTTATATATGCCAACTCCTGTAACTGGGAGTACGCGTTAAATGCCCTTGACTACAAAAAATGCTAAACGTAGGAAAAACCAATGTTTCGAGTACAGAGACGAAACAATAAAATAAAAAACGTTGAACATCGTTAAAACACGTTTTTTCTACGACTCAATTTACTATTTTTGTTTTCCGTTCGGATGATAAGAATTCCGAGAAAAATTCTATTTAAAACGAATGTATGTTGGCTTTGGAAGATCGTTTAGTGATAATTTTCAGCCGAAAGATTTTATAATATTTTTCTAATGAGAAGTTAATACTAGTTTTATCTGAATAATTAAGTTACGCTGTAAAATCCGTACAATAGATGGATACTTATAACGAAGAAGGGAATGAAAAAAAAAAGAAATAAAAGCATTCGGTTTGCAAAGAAACATCTTTCTACTTATTGTTATACGTATTCGAGTACCATCAATCGAGATTGCAAACCAAAAAATTCCAGTCAAATATGTACATTACTTACCCCGTACTTACTAGGACAAGTAATTGTTACAAGTGTATAAGCGGTGCCAAAGGAAGGGTGGCAAGAGGTTAAGTAAAAAAGAAATAAACTTGGAGTGTTTTTCGTTACCTGGCGAATGGCTTGGGCTCAATATCATAATAGTCGGTGATGGGCCCCGTCTTGACGACCCTAGCGAGCTGTGTTTCTTGCACGAGAACCAGGCCTTCCTTGACGTGTTCCTCGCTCCATTGGACGCGGCACCGGCCCCGGCTCTTACCATCGCCGGTGTCGAGAGAAGGAGCTTTTGGATTGCCAGAGTGCTTTTGCGTCGGTTTGGTGGACTGCTTCGACTTGGAGATCTTGTCGCGACTTTGGGACGAGGCGAGGAAAGAGGTGGACGTCTTGCCGATCGAGGCCATTGTCGGTACCTGGTGGCCCGATCCGTTGTTGTAGATCATCGCCCCCGTAATTTCAATAGAAATTAGCGCGGCTAACTGCCGCCCAACTACAAAACCGTCCTTTCCGATCACCCAAGCAACGCAGCCATCGATTGGTAGCAGATATATATGTGTGTATATATATATATATATCACCTTTATTTGTTATACGTGTCGGTCAGTAACATAGTCGTGATATACATCACCATTTGCGGTGGCCGATGTTCCGCGGACAAGCGCGAACCTGAAACTATATACTTAATGCTACACTTACTGCGCGCAGGCGGCCTTCTTCCATCTCCTCTTCTCTTTTCTCTCTGTCTCTCTCTCTCTCTCTCTCTCTTTGGAAGCCACCGCACGACGCCGACGCCGCTGCAGCGCCACGCATACTTAGGGTATTCTCTCTCTGACGATCGAATCTCGACATGCCCTCGCGCGATTCGGGGACCGCTTGCACATCAAACACCATTTAAATATACCCATGCACACGGACAATTTTTAGAACAATTGACGTGTATATTATTGCAATGAATGCGGTCATCATACTTAATATTCATGTAATATTGTTACGCAATTGAGAATCAACGACTTTCGTCCGACCTTGTAGCTATTAATCGGTAAAAATTACCGTCCTTTCGACGTAAAAATTATTAATTTTATTATTGCAACAAAAATGTCATTACTCAACGAATAATAATTATCTAAATTACTCGTGCGTACGCAACGAGAGGATAAAAGATTTGTTCTCAGAGGAAAACTAGGTAATGTACGAAGCACAGATCGCAGAGTAAGAAGTGTCACGACCTAATAGTACCCTCATACGCAGAATAGCCGTCATTTGTTCCTACTTGAAAATCCCAACGTTGGACGTCAGACTTTGTGTGGCTTATGCCGGAAGTGATTGAAGAATTTGCTCAAACACTCAAATAAAGAAAACCACTGAGTCATGAAACCTTGGACCGGCCAATGATCTAACGCTTTCCCCCTCTTATTTGCCATAATTACTCTCTTCTTGGTTCACTTTCCCTCCTCTGTTATGCGATTTCTTTATCTCAAGTAAGTTTGTTGATTATTCCTTATACTCAGCTCGATAGTGGCCGAAAAAACACTCGTACATGGCAGAGTACGGATGAATTGGATAAAGTACATGTTTAATTGGGCTACGCGTGACTTCAATGTCATTCGAGTAATGATGAGGAAAAAAAAGAAACCCTGCAGTTTATTAACCTTCTCACAGTTTAACTAGCAAGGAAACGTAAAGGGAGTGTTTGAATAAAAGTTTACGTTCTCGTGTTTGTCAATTATCATCGTTTATTGTATACTGTTAATAAAATTATCATAATAGTACTATTTTCAATTTGATATTTACACAGCTCTTTTCACAGATATCTTGCAGAGATTACATCTGTAGTAGTTATACGCAACAACGAGGTTTCTTTGATTATTGAGACACCAGTGTACATACAGTTAAAGATTATATCAAATATGCAAACATGAAAATCACGACAATAATAATAATTATTATAATGATCATTGTAATGATTAAGTATGCGTGACAATTAATGTCGATAATAACTAAATGACCTCGCATTCTCTTGGTGATTTTTTTTTTTTTTTTTTTTGTCTCCAACTCCAAAATAGGATGTACAATCTAGATAAACAAGGCTCCAGGCATGTTCGATTACTTTGAAAGTTGCCAGCCATTCTTTTTTGACTCGGGATAAAATTATGATCTTTTAATAGCGTTGTAACAAAAATTATTTTATTTGACGTAATAAAAATTAAAAACCAAATTTTTTATTTGAAGTGTGATTCCCATCATAATTACTGAAAATAGAAATCAAATAAGTATAGCAGTGGCCTGAATTATTCATCATCACTAGATAAACAAATTAACTTTATCATTATGCACACTTTAAGAACAGTCGAATAAAAAGTGCAATCATCTGTTGAAAATGAAAGAAATTACCATAATCATTCAAGTTTCGACATAATACTTTTATACGATTCGAGCTGGCTTGACGCGTTTTAATACTATTAAAAATTCCGTATGAGAAAACAGATAACACATTTTTCTTTTAAAGTAGTTCCCATCCCTGAGTTCAATAATTAACGTATCTTATAAAACTCGTGTCCCTGTGTACCGAGCTCGCATGGCTGGACTTGTAATTTATGCACTAAACTATGACAAACTTTTTTAAAACAAATTTCACAAATTTTTTTTATTATCGTTTTTGCTGACATCTCTCCTTAAAAACAGAGTGTGTAATTAGACAAACCATTATGTGACGAATGAGTATTAATTCCTTTCCACGCCATTCTTCGTTTTATCTATGATTATTGTACAAAATAGATTTACAAATTCTTTGCTCAAGTACAAAATAATATCGTTGATTTATGAGTCATAGCATCAAAATGTCAAACATTGATTTGCGGAGATGAGAAAAATTTAATTCAACTGAGAAAGAAAGTACTTGAATAAATGATAAAAAGATGTAAGGGAAATTTGAAACTACTGTTAAATTTGCTAAAAATTACGCAACTGCGCCTATTGATTTGGTATTTATCAGTGGATTTATCAGCTTATTCGAAAGAAAGCATCATGTTTTTTGTTACGCCCACGGTGCTGAATGAATCCAAGAGGAATCCTATTTCTAACTGAATTTTTATTATGACTGGCAGATGTACATTTTAGAGAATAAATATTTTGTAACGTAAACTTAATTTTTACTGTAATTAAAAATTTTGTAATATTTTTATTAATAAATATAAATGAAAATAGCAAAATTACACTGCAAGTTTTTAAAGGCACTGGTGATGAATTTTGCTTTTTATTATTACTCAAGGCAGATATAAAAATCTTGTATAATTCTTTAAAATTATTCAATTTTTTTCTTAATTTATCAATGAATAAATTTTTTACAAAATATTTTTATAACATGTTTGCATGCTTTTTAAATAATTTTTAACCGAGTTACTCGTATAAAAATGTTTAAAAACGTTATTTTTCATCTGTCGCAGCCTGTCATCTTTGCTGACAAAACATTATTACTACGAAAGAAACGCCTCGACTAAAATATCAGCAAGTATATATTTGAGTCGTCAGCTCATGGAAATTGGTTTTCTTTTTTTTCTATTTTTTTGACAGATAGAAACACGCCAATTGATGTACACGCCAGAGCTACTGTAAGGCACTTTCCCAGAAACTGTGAAAAGGACATAAAATATATGTATCACTCAAACAATTGCTCTGTTACATCAAACACTGGGTTTTTAATCTTATTGAATGCAACTGTTATCGTCACTTTCCAAGCATTTAAAAGGCACAAACTACTACCCTATTCGTCACGAGTTACGGACTTGACAGATTTACTCACACGATGTATAATAATAATAATTATAATTATAATAATTTAATATTATGCATATTGCGTATACAAAAAAATTTTTTATACAGTTATGATAGTCCTCGAGCCTCTGGAAGGGACGGACGGGCCATACCTTGTTGACGCAGAAATGAATTGTCAAATAAACGCACCCCGATACCAAAATATAACGGGCGTCCTTACATTATTATGCCTACAATCTTTCGTCGAAAGCGCACAATACGATAAGTGTATGGTTTACGTAAAAAATATAAAATTTTGCTTTTGATTTTTAAAATGATTTGTATAAGGCACTGTAATAATAATTTGTCTGTTAATGCACAGCCTGTTAGTTTAACAAGCAGGCAACCGCAATCAGTTGTTGACTATACGTAGGAGGGAAAGTAAATCAGTCTTTAAGTCTCTATCGAGGAATCGACAAACTTTTCAGATTTCACGTGATTGTCCGTTTGCCGCTTTCTTACTCTTTTATCGTTCCGTACTACAAGCATACGCAAACGCAAGCATACAAAATACTTAAATTTATGGTCATAACACTTGTTCCCAGGCAACGATGCCTGATCAGGTAGGTAGTTCAGGCTCCAGATGCACATTATGATAAATTATCCCCCATTAATTTGGGCGCTCGCTTTTATGTACATATTATATGTAACTATGATAACGTTCAAGTCTCGTCTAGGACGCAAGCATGTTATAGAGAGAAGGTAAATATTCAGTTACGAGAAAAATAAGAAATTTACTAATTTTTACATTGAATGCAGGTGGTACAAAAATTAATAATTCGTCATTTTCCTATTAAAGGCGCAATAAACGTCCAAAGTTGAAAAAAAAATCACCTAAAATAGAAAAATAATACTTTTTAAACCCACCAACAACCAAGTGCGGCAGTGAGTCAACGAAACAACCCTCGATGCTACCTTTTACCAACAATACAGAAACAACAACAATAATAATAACAACAACAACAACAACAACTACAACAACAACAAAACGGCAACAACGGCAAAAAAAATAACAAGTGTAACTTTTCGTTAAGAAAGTGCGTAGGCTTATGCTTGCGCCAGACGAGTTTACAAATCGAACAAATCGCTCATAAATTATTAAAATGATTTTGTTTAATGCGTTGAGCATTAACAGATACTTAAACTTTTTCCTTTCACTCGATTCAATGATTCAGTTATTGCGGACGCATATGTATTTACAAAGATCTGCATCGGTGAATGCGACGCAAACATATTATTCTTATAATCATGATCATCATCTGCGTGCGCATGTATGTATAATTTACAAAATAGAAAAGTTTCCCTATGCTTTCTCTACGAAGAGCCGTGCACTTGGAACCTTCGTATACGGGCCTGGACAGACTCGCACTGCACCTCGCTGTAACGCATGTACTTGCCGGCTCGCACCGGCTCTCGGATAACCACCAAATTTTCACCTTGATTGCGCAGCGCCTCAAGTCCAGTAATACTGCGATTCGTGCTCACTGAAAACAAATCATAGGTGAAATGTATTTATATTATTCGAGTTAAAATAAAAATAAATTTTTTGTTCAAATAACTCATGGTGCTGATGTAATGTAATGTGCGTACAAGTATCATGAAAAGTCAGTCCCATCCCAATATTAACGTAAAACATACCCTGATAAATTATACATCTATAAAGTAATAAAATAAATTCAAAACTTATAGCTCGGTTATCTCAAATCGAGTTATACGTAGGGTATGTATGTGTATGTATGTACAAATGGCAAAGTGGCAAGAGAAATAAAAGCTCCCTGTAGGTGTGTGTACTTACTTTTGGTCGTCGAGCTCGTAGCTGCTAGAGAAACGCTGCTGCTCGTACTCGAGCTTGCGAGGGGCATTTTCAACCTACTGCTGCTGTTGCTGTTTCTATAGGCATAGCGGTAGTGGTGTTGGTCAACGGTGGTAAAACGGCTGAGGGCTTTGCCAACGATGCCGCTGCACTCGTCCGGCCAGACCCGGGGCCCATGGCGCAAGCTGTTGGTACTACTGTTGGCAGACGTGGCGGCACTTGTACCTAGTAATAGCCCGTTGCGCTGCTTCCAACTATGCGACTCGCTGGCGCTGAAAGGAAAACTCACGCGACCCTGCTGGCTCGTTTTTCCGTAAAGAATGAAATCCAGAGAGTCGTCCGAGTAGATGCTGCTCCGGTCCGAAGAACTGTCGGTCGAGATTTCGGAACCACTGTCGCTGCTCTGGTGCTCCTCACCCAGAATAAATACCGGAGTGCACTTGAACAATTCGCCCATTGCTGCCGATGTAGCCGACGACATTGTTGACGTCCTCGCGCTCGCATCTTTATGTGAATATAATTAAACAAAACAAAAACACACACACACACACACATACGCTGTATAAGAGAACAAACTTTCAAATAGAACGTCTAATTTAGATGATTGTACAATGTATACCTGATGTGCGCCGGGAAGAGGACGTCTGCAACTCGAGTATGTCATCGCTAAAAACCTCCAGGAGATCAGTACTAGCGGAAAACTTTCTCGCGAGGTAGTCCATGCTTCGTTTGAAGTTCATCCGGCGCTCCGACGACAAACCACTGAAATTATGCCTCGGGGCCGATCTTTGGGTGTAAACGTGATCAGCGGGCGCGCTGTCGAAAACGCACGGGGAGGGCGACGTCGTATTCCCGTCCTTCTCGAGATGTTCGGCCGTGGTCGGGACAACGGGCTCCTGCGTATCTGGCTCGTTGGGCGTCTCGTCGAGACGCGTCGTACTGCTACCGTCCAGCTTGACTAGAGTGATCGCCTCGAGCTCTGACTCTTGATGCGGAACCATCGGAGCTTCTGCCACGCTTTTCTCCTGCTTCTCGGGGACGGAAGGCGACACGGAGCCGAAACTACTGGGCCTACAGCTGCTGGTCGATTCCACGAGGTTCTGGTTCTCGCTGCAGGTCTCCGTAGCCATTGGGAAGGACGGTGTTCTTGGTAGCTCCTCAAATTTGCTGAACCACGAGTGTTGCAAGCAATCCGTCGCAGATAGTCGTTCACTATAACGAGATGAGACGAGAGACGGTGTGAAAATATTGGATGAAATGGTAGTGGTTTTTACGCGTACCTTGGATTCTTGACTATGAGCCGGCGTATGAGGTCCTGCGCGTCCTCGGAGACCTCCTCGAAGAGATCATCGGGAAAGTCAAGCTTGCAGCGACTAATGTTGCAGAAGGTCTCCTGCTTGGTGTCGCCGCCAAAGGGTGAACAGCCAGTCAGCAGCACGTAAAGCAGAACGCCGACCGACCACATGTCGGTCGCCAGGCTTATCGGCTCGTAATTCAGCACTTCCGGAGCTATGCGGGGAAACGAGAGAAAGTATGTGGATGTAGACAGATATATTCGACTATCTTGTACTTTATATAGCCAAGTTTTTTGACAATTTGGTTAATGAGTACAGTCATAGTATTAATAAGAGGTCCGTTATTCGATTTCACACTTACCGATGTAATCAGGTGTCCCAAGGATCTCGCGAATCTCAGCTCCGTGGCTAATGTACCGCGAGATGCCGAAATCGCAGAGTTTTACATCACAGTCGGGAAATTCACCGGTAAGGACAAGATTTTGTGGCTAAAACAAAACAAAACAAAAAAGATTAGTTTTTTTTTCTCTAATAAAAAAAAACTACTAACTTTGTGCTCTGTAAAGTTCAATTATTTTATTATATAGGATTAAGATTTTTCAACCCAAATAATATAGGTAGAAACAAAAAAATACAACCAACAACGTCCAAGGTCAAAAAGATCAGATGCAATATTAAAACTTTTTTCGAGCCGCTACATGAGAATAAGTAGATAAATAATTTGAAACCCTACGGATCATTAAAATTGGTCAAAGGTTTTCTTACATTTACCTGATAACACTCAAATATTTCTGATATGCCTATTATTACGAAAACTTAATTTTGCTACTCTGGGCGTTTTTTCACCCACAGGATGTTCCAATCGAAATTATGTACAATGAGTGATAATACTGATATATTCGGGAAACGTTGAATTGTATGAGAATTGGATTACGATATTAAAAAGTAACCGAGGTACTGTTGTAACCCGTATTCAAATGTTTTTTCGTCCAAGTATGGTTTATATTTTTTTACTTTAATCGTATAATATTGAGGCAATCCATACGTGGGACTTGACGATATTCAAAATCAAAAGCAGCAATGATCTCACAGCAAGACTGTTTCATTGCAGAGATGCGACATCTTGATACAAATGAGAATCAGCATCAATAACAATAATAATAATAATTAACAAGATAATGAAGAGCCGACATAGCTGAAACGGTGCAGGTAGGTGTATCTAATTATATATACCTATANTCTGTCGTTTACCCTGACGATACGTGTATACATGTGCCCACATGATTATTATTATTATTATTATTATGTATAGGTATCCCGATGAGGGAGCATAGCTACGAGAAGCTGAGCTACTCCACCTTATACGGAAACTTTGACTTACCTTGATGTCCAAATGGGCGATGTTTCTCTCGTGGAGGTAAACTAGTCCTTCCACTAGTTGCCTGACAAAGTGGACCACGTCACCTTCGAGAGGCACCAAATCCCCATCTATCAGAGTTTGCAGGTCTCCACCGGGTGCGCTGTCGTCAAAGTTGAAAAAGAAGAAAAAAAATTTCAGACTGCCCGAGACTATAGACTACATCCTCATTTTTTGTACCGTTCAACCGATATTATTTAGTAAGTAAATGTAGCGACAATACAATACAATGTTAAACGCATCACCTTATTATTATGTCTCTAATTTGTACATTGAGACTTTCCCTGCGACAATTTGTATAATGCTGTATTTAACTTTATGTAGAGAGAGAGAGCGTATGAAATAAATCGGTACATATCCTCACTCACTATTCCATAACCATTATCATTTCCTTGGGGGTCTCGTAAACGTCGTGGAGCCTGACAACGCGGGGTGATTGAGAGCAGAGCGACAGCAGGGCTATCTCATGGCGAAGTTCGGCGCTGCAGTCGGCATTGAAGCGACTTCTGGAGGAATACTTGGCCGCGTATACGATACCCGTTGATCGGGATCGGCACTTGTAAACTCGAGCCCACTGGCCACTGTGAGAAAAAAGAAAATCATTATGATACTTTGTTTACATGTAAACCATGTTTAGTAGAGTTTAAAGCCTTGGTGAATGTTACCAAGTTTGGAAAACCGAGCAATTAGCTGAATTTATAATTTTGCAATGATATATAGAATTTAGTTTCCACGCTCTATCGTAGACAAACTAAACGAAACGGTAAAAATGTAACATTACAGGTACATGTACCGGGTACGCCGATTTTTTTGGCCTCGTATGGTGTACCGGGAGCTATATAAAATAAAACGATTGTCAACAGGTCGCAAGCCGTGATGTTAATCGAGCTTGTTTGCGCGCGAAAAACAAAGAGGAACCACGACGGTTGAAGAAAGACAAAAAAATAGTAATAATAATAATAACACAGGCAGAAAGGCTAAAACGACGGAGAAGAAAGAAAATTATTGTCGCTGACCGTTTTCCGCAGTGAGCGGATGATATTTTGTTTAACAGCGTGCCTCTCGTTTGCGATATGTAAGTATATTATATACACACGCGGAAGCGTCGGCGGACGACTTTGAACCTCAAACGGCTATACTTGTACAAAATATTAATACGTGGTATAATATTGGCTCATATTCGCGTAAAATGCATACTTGATTGATTGAATACGGAAACAAGGATTCCGGATTTTCTGCAACACCGTTGGCTTGCAGCATATGCAACCAACACTCGGAACTCGGGCGTAAACGACTAATAAGTATAGGTACCTAGTATATTTAAGAGACAAAGAGCGTCGGATGAAGGCCAGAAAAAGCGCGATCGAGTGTTGGAAGGACGCGCACCTCGCGTACGTGGCAGTTGCGACGATGACGATGATGGCGTCTCCATTAATAACGAGTTACTGAACCAAACAAAAAGACCTCACGTTTTGACGTAAAGTTAAAAGCACGGTTCCAAAAAACTATATTTATCGTTAAACATACAGCTTAATGACAACAGTATGAATTTTTTTTTTTTTTTTTTTCAATTAATATAGACGTAATGATTTGTCCGACAGAAAAGTGTATTATTTCAAAAGAAAAAAAAAAAAAAAATTTC